TCTTATATAACCAATGTTTGTCTGCGTAAACTTTTTTAACCAGTTTCTCCCGTAATTTTCTGCTGATATACGGATATACTTTATAATTTATTTCTGAAGCCGTGTAAGTATTATTTTTAAAGCCATTTTATGATACAAAGCGAAGTCAGTACTTAACAGTGTAACTCTGTATCTTACTTCCAGTTGGTTTTCATTATTTAAGTTATTAGTGAATCATTTCCGTTCTTATAAATATATGAAGAAGAAACTAATTGGACAGAAAAGAATGTTGAATGAACAGCAGGCTTCAGCTGGTGGATGGTGACTAGCAATGGAACCCAGGATGAGCATTTCGTCCTTTTTGGGGGACTCGTCACCTGGATGTCCGAAAATAGAACGAAATGCGCTCTATCCTGAATTCCACTGCTAGCCACCATCCACCAAGTGACTTCTAGTTACATGACTAGAAATAGTCGAAGCATCTTCACAAGGAACCGACATGTCAACTTGAGAACGAGCACTTCAGTTCAATCAATCGATGCAAAAAAAATCAAAAATTGAATTAAACAGCAGGTTTTCCTGGAAAAATTTATTATCAAGATTGATGCAGTGTAAAAGTTCTAGTTCTGATTGAAGCATTTAGGTATTCGAATGGAAATCAGACAATTGGAAAAATGATTTTAAAAAGTTCATTAGAGTACGCTGAAATACAATGCGATCATACTTCTCTTTTTTTCAATTTATTTATCGAAAGTTATTTTATCAGGTGTTCGATAATCACAAATTAGTACTTATAAAATTTATTTAACTGAATAGTTTAAAAGACGGTCTCATTATCAAGGTGATATAAGGTGTAAAACACATGATTATTTGTTCATATGCCTACTTTTATTGTACTTATGTGGGTGTTTATGTTACCTACTCTAACTGTCTAATTCACGTGAACTTCACTTAGAGTTTTATGAACACATTCAAAAAAGTGGTTTGACAAACAGATGATCTATGACAATAGTACTTGTTTTGTCTAATAATTCTGAAATCACTGTAACAGATTTTATAGAAAAGTCATCTGATTTTAGTGAGTTTGATAAGTATTCCATCAGCGTTCAGGCAATTTTCTCACCTTTATAATTAAGCCGAATGTAGATTGGCTTTTTATCCATTGTGATTGATTAACCTTTAAGGGTACCCATTGCTCTCCAATATCTTTTCAAGAAACACAAATTCTCCCTCTAATTACTCTATAGAGCATATTCTCCTCGCTCTATAGTACAGAGTCTTGACTAGTCCACGCTGAAAGCTATTTGGATAAAAGCTATTAAAATGTAAGTATTGTCCTTTGCATGTAGGCCTTCGATAAATTGACTTCTAAAGACTACCGTCTTCTAGGCGTTGCATGGCAATGTCGAAGAAGTGGAACTTTCTGTTACTTTCATGCTCTTTGGTGCAATCAAAAATCGATAGATATCCTTCTTATGTTAACTTCAACTGTATATTAAAATTTACATGTATCTGCGGGAGCAGTTACATTGGAAGGACAGAAAGAAGGAAGGCATATCTACGATTTTATGAACATGTACCAAAACGCTTATGTCTAAAAGGAACAAATGCTTTAAACAGTGCCATCAATCGCCAGGCATCTCCTTCATACGAAACATGAAGTGGACGTCGAAAAGTCGTTCATAATTATCAATAGGCAAAAGAGCTCAATTCTACTCAAGTTTACTGAAGCTATTTCCATCAAGCGCCTGAAACCTGATTTATGCATCCAGAAAGAAGCGGTTATCAGTCTTTCTTTGCTCTTCCTGGTAACTGGATACTTTTCATCTCATTTTCATCTGAATGCAAAATACTGAAAAGTTTCCATTGTGTATGATTATTATTGTTGTTCGGAATAGTGTTTAATATTGCATATATATGTATATATTATTACTGTATGCATATATTGATCGATTGATTTTTGTCAAAAATGAAGTCTGTGTAAGTATTTTAAAATTGTTTATGTAGATATATTTAATGATGTTTTTGGGCCTGTATGCAGCTGATGAGAAGACAACGAAATAAATGATGGTACCTCTTTATTTGCATAAACCACTGTAGTTCTTTCTTTGTTCATATTCATTAAGGGGAATAAATGTATGAAATCCCTGAAATATCTGTTGTCATTTAGAACACAGACTGAGGGGTACCAAACAGGAGATAATTTAAAAGCTTGTAGACTGAAAATAAATATTCTTAATTCTAATAATGCTTTCACCTGTCACTTAATTATTTAAATACTGAGATGAAAACATAACTACGATCAACTGGTTTCACTGATAAAGCCCAGCATACATTTGAGTTTGTCGACTGTAACGTGACGTCATCAGATTTTAGCATTTATAAGTTCTGTTTAATATTCATTAAATTATGACAACACGATTGTCCAGCATACCCTGACTTTCAAAGACTTTCTGGTCAATATATATGCTGCTAATAAAATTCTTCTTGATACCGAGAATCCATTGTGAAGTTTTTGTAATATAGGTAGTGTTTTCCATTTCTTGCATTCTGAGTAGAACATAGGGCTACAGGTCATTAGGTTTAGGTAGTGACGGTGTGTTGCCTTCTTTTCAACACAGTGGGATTTCCGGCCTCATGCCCAATCTTACCCATTTTTTCCAGGTTCATAACGGATTAGGTGAGGTTTAGGAGAGCATCAGCCGGGGAATAGACTTGAACCTCCTGAGTGACAGACAAGCATTCTACCACTGAACTGCCAGTGCACAGCGTATAGTATAAAAACGATGATTTAACGTGCATCTTCATTATTCGACAGTCAATAATGTGGATTTTAAAAAATTCCTACATAAAGTTAACTTTTAAATTATCTTAATTTACTCACAGAAACGGCTTAGGCTTCTGGTTTTCTTCTTGAAACGATGCAGTATGTTCTATGTTCGTGGTGGCCAAGAAGAAGAAACATTTGAGTGGCCTCAACTTGACTCTTGTTGACGCCCATCATTAGACAGTCTCTATGTATTTTGAAAAACTCTCATTTCACCTAATACTTAAATAGGTACTGACCTATCTGGCAGTCAAAAACCTTACCATCAGGGTTATTCATGTATAATTAAACACTCCTCTGTACAGCCGTATGGTGTTTACAAGTTGCTCAAGGGATCGTTGCCTGCGGGAAAAAAAGTCCCTACAAATTTGTAACTTTACACTGTTAATGCTACCTAGACTGGCTAAGATCTCCTCTTGTATAATTCTTAACATAGAATATCACTATTAAACGTCCCACAGCGCAGATAGCTGTCATTTTACTTTGTGTCCTGGCAAGCCTAATAAGAACTGAGATGATCGTAGCAACACAGCTTCCTCAATCTTGAAGATAGACATTGTTTATAAATGCTAACTGCTGTGAGGACTCGGTGACAAAAAGGCTCCTTACCATTCGAATCTCTTGACCCTGATGAAATCAACAAATCAGATTGCAGTCACAATATGTACATAATGTAGCAAAATGTTTTCTTATTTTTTGTAATGAAGAATGTTAACTCAAATCACTTGAGTGAAGAATGCCGATGCACGAATGTAATTTACGTTTTACACTTTCATATAAGAAGTATGAAGAAATGTGTGTGTGTGTTTGTGTAAAATACTTATAAGCCATGTGCATCCGTTTGCTCATTAGCATTGGACTAAACATACTGTGCGACTAATGGTAGTATTATCTGCTTCCGTGAACCTAGAATAGACAATCAGGTTGTTAACACATTAAGATGATTAGAAACCTGAGCCGACAGGCAGCCCTGTAGGATAATAATTGTAATAATCGATTTTTGTGATTTCTATCTGTTAACATGCTGAGAAAAACAATTTTATAGACTAAATTGCTCATTTTTACCCCCTAAAGCAATAAAAGCGGACCCAGAGACTACAGCAGACATGCTGACTCCATTATTGCAAAAGATCTGGAAGGAGGGAAAGGTGCCTACTGATTGGAGGAAAGGTTACCTCGTGAAACTACCAAAGAAGGGCGACTTACGCCTCACTTTGCAAGAACTGGCGAGGAATCATGCTCCTGTCGACGCCAAGTAAAATCCTGAGTCGCATCATCCTGGAGAGAATAAAGGACGCACTGGATACAGAACTCAGCCCGGCGAAACAAGATAGATTTAGGAAAGGCAAATCATGTACTGACCAAATTGCAACTCTACGCATCATCATCACAGAACAAAGCATGGAATGGCAATCAAACCTCTACCTCAACTTTATACACTTTGAGAAGGCCTTCACCAGACAGCGTTGACCGCGAAGTAATTTGGAAACTACTCGAGTACTAACGGCGTACAGTGCCCCAAATATTCATCAACCTTATTCAACAGCTAGCTGTACGACAACGCCACATGTCAAGTGATTCACAACGGAAAACTCAGCGAGGCGTTTGGAGTAAACACAGAAGACAGACAAGAGTGCTCGCTTATTATCACCAATGAATGATATACCTAATTGTGGTGGACTGACTGGATTATGCGTCATACAGTGAGTGGGAAACGAGAAGACAGGGAGGGATATCCTGGACCCACCGACGTGAAGGACTTAGAAGACCTGGATTTCGCGCATGGATGATTTATGTTTGATGTCACACAAAATCGAAGACTTAGAGGCAAGCGAAAACTGACAAACTGGTCGGAGAAGCAGCCGGAGAAGACAGGACTCCAGGTGAACATAGATAAGACGGAGGTTATGCAGAGAATCAACCAGCGAAAGGGAAGTGGCAAATGGGCCGTCCAAGGGTGACATGGAGGAGATCGTGTGAAGAGGAGTTGAGACAGTACGGTCTAACAAGGATGCAGGTGAAAAGTACAGCAGAAGATAGAAGCAAGTGGAAACGTGCAGCTGAAGCCCTATGTTACACTAGGAACCCAAGGGAACAATAATAATAATAAAATTATTCATTTTAAATTTTAAATTCTATGTATTAGGTTAAACAGATTGAATCTTATATATTACCTTACAAAACATTTGAACTACTACATTCTTCTACAAGAAGTTGATCTTGATCTTGCACATTTAATAGGCGATTTATTTCTGCAATTGAAATGACAGAAATGCTCATGATTTAATAATGCAGCCGCTTTATCCCTCTGAGATGCTAAATTTATCGGATTACGTGTGCATGCTTCTCCTTTGACCAAAACACATGCTTTGACTAATTTGTTCTTCTGGCTACCACTACTACTTGTATTTCCTATGTGAAATTGTTGTCGTTGTAACTGTAATTGATTTAGATTTACTTCTTTGGTGAATAAAAATAAACACGGCCAAATATAATGATGCACTTGACCAGCCGTTGCATCGGAGTCATAACTTCTTCGATAACTTAAATAAAAGATAAAAGAATAAAAATGTCACCGTTAGAACAGATGATTTAAGCTGCATAATAAAATCTCTATATGTATTTATACTAAACAGAACTACTTAGATTTTTTGAAAGTTTCTAAAAATTACTTACCACCTGTCGTCATATGCATCTCCTGGTTTAGCTGATTTATCCACATCAGCATACCAAACTAGACAGACACCAGTCGATTCATCAGTACACGATTGTGATTCTTGTTTTTCAGCTAAAAGATGCCAAGCAAGAGAGCAAATTTCTTTTAGTAGTTGTGTCAGCGAAGCTAATTCTTGCGATGTGATTGGACGTCGAACAGAAGTAGGTCGCTTTACACTTGATTTACCTGTTTCATTAATAGTAATATGACATGCACACTCTGGTGGAGGATGACGTGATAGACGTCTGAATGTTGCAGCTACAAGCTTTTCCAATTGATCAGTGCTAAGAGGTGTGTCAAAAATTGAAAGTTGTCTTTCGCAAGGCTTTCGGAAGAAATTGTTTGTATCATGCAGACTTGTAAACAGACGACGAATTACATGACTAGTAACCAAGAAACCTGCCTAAAAGTAGACATACATGAGACAAATAGAAATGTATTTATGAGGATGATTTTATTAGTAAAATGCTAACTACATATTTACTTTTACTCCAGTATACTAGTGAACACAATGATTTGAATAAAATCAATAATAATAATAATAATCCCTTTATTCCAAACAATAATATCTATACAGAATGGAATAGTCAATGTTTCTATACATATTGTAACAATTTCACTCCTTTTATAAATATGTACATTCACGAAATTTAAGATTAGTTGGAAGGTTTCATAATGAGCTGGGGAGTGCTGAATATAGCCGTTTCGTCAGCCTAGTTTGGGATTTCCCAGAAGAAAGCACCCACCACAAATGGTTCAAATCCAGGACCTTCTGGTTACAAGACGAACTAGTTCGTAGACTATTAAGCCATTGTGACCGGACTGAATTCTAACTTCTGCCAATTCATGACATAGTGCAACCACTTCGTAATATCTCCTTCGATGAGTTACCTGAAACCTGCCGGACCTCATAGGTCACGGCCAGTCGCTAGTGAGCATCAGATTAATTTTCAAGTATTCATTTTTTTCTCTGACTGATATCAGCTCATTATAGGTAAATTTTGTTTTGATAAAGTCTCACAGTGTTATACAGTAATGTTTACTGATGGCGTTTCGAGCACAATTTATTGCTCATAATCATATCAAGGTAATCACACGACTTCCTAAATTCATTTATGTAGTTCCATTGTTTTTCTCTTGATTTTCACTTGATTTGATTGATAATAGTATTTTCCATATTTCAGCTATGAGTGACGAGTCATTCCTATTGCATGTGTTGGGTGTAGACTCGATGAACAAGGATTCAGTAATCAATCTTTCTCGCTCTCCACCTACATAGATTACTTCTTAGAATCGTAACCCTCTCCCACCCTATTGTGTGGTTGTGTGTTAGCGCATGCATTGCAATCGCTGAGCTTTTTTCTAAATTACTTATCTTCTCGGGGTCAACCATTCTTCCCTTAGCTAAATTCTTATGTTCTGATAATCTGACTATCCCTGACCTACTAGTCTGACCTATGTAGTTGACTTAACTCACAGTCATTGCATGGTATTTTGTAAATTATATTATTTTGTCTAATTGGGTCAACTGGGTCCTTTAACCTACAGAGCTTGTCCTGTCTGAGTGAGTTTGTAGGTTTAAATGCCACCCTAATTCCTATTTTATTCAGAATCCTACGTAGTGTCTCAGCTCATGATGAAACCTTCCAACCAACCAAACACAGTCTCTACAAGGCCAGCTAGTACTTGAAAGAAAGCACAATAAGAATATTTTGGTGCAAATACCTGAAGATTTGGTATGAGTGTACCAAACTATAAAACAGTGCTATACTGCTAGGCAGAATTTCTTCTCATCAGCTTAATAAAATATTTTCTAATTATTTTTATATTATTTTCTGCCTATTGTACTATGGCTTACTCTACTTCCTCATAGATTTTCCAGCTTACTTCAATGGAAGACTGTTGTTTTACGTTTCACTGAATATACCTTTGTAGTACTGTTGTACATTAGATAAAAACAAACCAAAGGCATGCTGATTTTCAACGCCTGATGGAGTGAGTGCCTTTAAAAACAAACTTCATCGTGAACAGTTATCGAGTGAAGAATCCTCTGAAATTAAAGGAGATCTGAACATCCTATACACACTTTAATTTGTTACTTAGTGGTAATCCGAACTGGAGATTATGAGGCATGAAACTGTTCCACTCTGATATAAGCATCTCATCTCAAGTTATACTACAAGAGTCTCTGAAGTGGCAGAAAGTAGCGTCAAATATCAGTTTTAATAATAATAATAATCACTTTATTCCAAACAATAATATTTATACAAAATGGAATTTTCAAGGTTTTTGTAAATATCGCGTCAATTTAGCTCCTTTTGTAAATGTGTGCATACATAAAATTTAAAATTTTATTAATAATGATATTAATGATGAAACCACTATAAACAGAATGTTGGTGAAGACATCATGAATTATAAGTAGATAATACATGTAACAATAACCTTTGCTTATACTTTACAGTTCAGTTACTGATTTAAAAAACGATTAAAAGTTCTTTTCTGATATCTGACTCTCTCTTCACACAAAACCCATGCTAAATATGGTATAGTAGAATTTGCATATTTAGTTATACGAGGCATAAATTCTCCTGGAGTTTCTTCTGGTTTTATCCAAAGTGATACAAGGCAAAAGTTGAGAATGGTAAGGAGAGTACCGTTAACTTGGCCATCTAGGCTTGAGTGATCTTGAATTTTGTGGAATTTTCCTAATTTTAGTTGATATTCTATTTGCTACTATATCTTTATTATTATTATTATTTAAGTATCTTCAATGAACTGTAATTGCATTTATCGTACTTTACAAGTCGATATTATTTGCAAAACGCTAATATTGTTATTGACTACTAATCTAGAATATTCTATGTATATAAACATATGCATAGAATTGTAGAGTCGGAAGAGGAATTTATCGAAAAGGATATTCTTTGCTCAATTATTTTACGTGTTTCATAAAAGGATGTTTAGCATCAAATAAGATAACTTAAGCCAAATACTTGCAAGAATTGAATTGATGAAATAGCTATTGATAGTAATGTCAGTTTTCAAATAATATGTATGTACTTTTTAAAAACGGGTCTGGGAGTATCGAGTTAACCGGAAAAATTAATTACTACATAATAAAGTAAAACAAGTATTTTTTTATTGCTATTACAAAAACTTCACTTACTACAGGTGTTAAGTAAAATAACACAAGAAAATGTTCAAAGTGAAGGGAACAAAAATAACATGGGCGGAGGAGGGTTAACAGAAGAAGAGTACACATATATATAAACAGATAGGTGAGCACTCATGACCCCTCTAGAGACTGGAAACAGGACAACGAGTCATTGACCACCTAACCAATTGAATGAAATCTAATGACCTGTGGATTTTAACATGTATCGATTCTCTGATAGCTCTCACCGCCAACCCGTGGCATCGATGAAGAGTCCCAAGTTACGATGACATCGCTTCCCAGTGCTCCTAGTTCCTCATTCATCCTTTCAGTGATGTTGACGTGTACCAGTATCTACATTATAACCAATAAAAATTCCTACAAATCCTAAATTCGAAGATAAACAAGTTCATTTTCTTCCTACATGTTTTTAGGACCAAGATAAATAAAATAAGGGACAGTACATTCATGTTTTGAACACAAAGGTCAAGCTTCACTTTATAAATATCCAAAACCCTCGGTGTATTAAGAAACTGAAAACGAAGAGAAGGTGACAAGTTTTCGTCATTTCGACAAAAACAATCCTAAAACCATTGTCAAGATTAACTAACTGACTGTTTGAAGTCAAGTAGGCGTTCCAGAACAAGGCTTTTTTTCTACCCTGTCCAACCATACGAGAATGTTCTCTTGGATTCACGTAGAAAGCAGGTTAATTGTTAAATTTACTTAGAGGCGGTTGGATGACAGTGTTTGTCTTTTACACAAATGGTAAACACCAACTGACTAGTAGAAGTCAACCAGAGTTTTGCTGCGCAGAATGTCTCATTGAGTGATTTAGAAAGACAGTCTTTAGGTGCACCTCAAGTGTGGTCACCTCTAAAGTCAAGATTCATTGAAGATGGTTATCTTTGAAACTGAGATAGTGGTGAGTTTGAAATATTACTGCTCCATGGTTTTATCAGTAAAACAATTGCAGTAACAGTTTTCAGCATGTGTGCTTCTTAGAAAACATAATTCGTTGTTAAAACTGACTAAATTATAAGTGTTTTTACCCTACAACAGAAGAAATGGATAAAATTCCTTTTCTTATAGAATATAAAATGGAGAATTATAACAATGACTTCAGTATCCACAGCTTGACTTCACTTTATAATAGCCGTCTACTTCATCATCTCCGAGTAAGCATGCATTGCAGAAGATATCAACACAATTTGTTACACTATTTCACTAATGGATTAACTATCAAGGTTAAACTAAATAGTGAAATCTTGAGTCTTTATGAAAGCATAGCTGTATAATTTCGTACAGGTCTTAGTCCCCCCTCACCACCCATTACATCAAGAGAAGTTTATCAATTTTGCGGCTATTATACAAGATCGCATCATGAAAGCACATTTTTTATAGCAGTTCCACTTCCTGTGGAAAACAAATTGAACTTTTCTTCATAAATCAGCACCAATGAAAACTGATGATGGCTGAACAACTATTTATCCCTAGACTGGATTCACAATTCACAACTGAACGCATCACTTTAAAAAATGAAGATAGAAGACAGACAACTGACGGAAACATTTTTCAAGGAGGACATCCATACCAGATGATGTCAAAAGCTTAAAGTTATCGATTTCAATCCAGTATTAGGGCTTTTGATTGAAATGGTCACCTTGAAATTCAACATTTCTCTGATTAATCTCATTCAAGTTACTGACTTATTAACTAATTGTATCATGACCTGAAAAATACAGAAAACTCATTCCCATTCTCACTGTTTCACTTTTGTCTTACCAAAAATTTAGTAATAATAACAATAATAATTCGCAAAGCTTTAGGATGTGTCCTTTTACGAAACACAGTGTTAGGGTAGGTGTTGCGTTTTCAAAGGTGAAGTAAGTTTGCTGTTCACAGTTGAGATGATTAGAAATGCCTAGGGATAGAAATAATTCACATGACTATGATGAGGCGTATTATTTTCATTTCTTTTTCAAATAGTAGACTGACAGTAACCCATTTGCCTTCCACACCCGATTTCGAATATATATATATATACATCTGAATACTATGAAATCGAAATTAGAAAATTGATTTTCGACTGATTTTCTCATTCGCAAAGACTTGGGAATAAAAACACAAAGGTTTTTCGGTAGTAATATGATTATATATACATAATATAACCTACGCAATGTCCCAATTAATATTCAAAAAGAGGCATCCCTTAATGAAGACTTAAAATCTGTAATATCCTCAATA